GAGGGTTTGAGTAAGTTATACAAGGCTTATAGAGAGTAGGACTTAAGAATTATGAGTGTTTGATGATTAAGATTCATAAGCTCAGTTGGGTAGTGGTGGCACACATCTTTAGTCCCAGTACTAAGGAGGCAAAAGCAGACAGATCTGTGAGGTGGAATTTTCTGTCTCACCTGTTAGCTCCCAAATAATAACACAGAGACTTATTAAACTATAAATGATTGGCAAATAGCTTAGGAATGTTAGTACCTAGCTCTTACAACTTAAATTAGTTTTTCTTATTGATATTCTACCATGTGGCTCAGTACATTTCACAGCCCAGCATGTTCATCTTGCTTCTCCCTATGCCTCCAGGAGACTCTGCCTTTCTTCCTCCCAGTGCTCTCTCCTTGTCTGAAAGTCCTGCCTAACCTCTTCCTGCCTAGCTATTGGCCATTTAGCCCTTTATTAAACCAATGAGAGCAACACATCTTCACAGTGTACAGATTGTTCCACAACCTATTTTTGTGAGTTGGAGACCAGCATGGTCTGCAGAATGAATTCTAGGCTGTTGTGTCTTGAAAAACACAACAAAAACAAAACAAAAAGGGATTTATTAACTTTTAGGGCTATAATGAACTATTCATGCTAAAAAAATAAATGAATTAAAGATATGTGTCTTTCTAACTTCACTAAGCTTTAGATTTTTTGGAGAAATTGAGTCATATAAAAGAACTGTGATATTTTATTAAAGTACACTATAGAAGGATCAGAAAAATTATGTTCTCAGTTTCTCCATAGAGTATATCTATGTTTTAAATTTATTTTGATGTCAAGGGGGCTTCAATTCAAAATTATAATTTTTAAGGCTCAAAATCTTAGGGATAAAATTATAAAATTCCAATCTTATGAGAGTTGCTAATTTATTGTAAACTGTTAATTAAACCTTAAAAGATAATGAATTCAGGCGTGGAGGTGCACACCTTTAATCCAGCATTTGGGAAGCAGAGGCAGGTGGCTCTGAGTTCAAGGTCAGCCAGGTCTACAGAGCAAGTTCCAGGACTTCCAGGGCTACACAGAGAAACCTTCCAAAAGATAATGATCTTATAAATGATAAAATATCTTTTTTTTTCTTTTTGGTTTGTTGAGACAGGGTTTCTTTGTGTAACAGCCCATGCTGACCTCGAACTCACTGCCATCTGGAGCCTCCATTGCCCGCCTATGATCAAATATCTTTAATGTGCTCCAAATTGTGTTTGTAGTACAGCTAAGTATAAGTGTGATTCATCTATAGAGAAAAGCATGGAAGGAGAGACCAGTTTCTATTTCCCACTGCATAGTCTTCTGCATATGTCGTCAGTCAGCTCTAGCACATGGAATCAAAGCAAGTTTAAAGTAAACTTAACGGTTATTTAATATAAAGTAATAGTCAAAATTAGAAATATTTTAAAAACAGGTTATGAAAACTGAATGCTTAAATAAAATAGGTTAAATTATAATACGCTTGCATGGCAAAACATCCCTAGACTCAAGCAATATCCTTTTCCCTGGATGGGACACAGACCCCATCAGAGTGAACTGCAAGCTAGCGTCATTACAGAAGGATGCAGGAGTTTACACCCACGTGGGTGTGCTGCTCCTGCCTCTGGCTGTGCAGGCCAGACCTGGAAACCTTCCTCCTTCTCTTTAGGGAAGATGAATTACTCTTCATGTCTCACATGATGGGGGTGGGCTCACTCACCCTGGAGAGGACATTGGAGCCTACATTCACATCTTAAAAGTCTCCAATAAGGGGCTGGAGAGATGGCTCGGTGGTTAAGAGCACTGCCTGCTCTTCCAGAGGTCCTGAGTTCAATTCCCAGCAACCACATGGTGGCTCACAACCATCTGTAATGAGATCTGGCGCCCTCCTCTGGCATGCGGGCATACACACAGACAGAATGTTGTATACATAATAAATAAATAAATCTTTAAAAAAAAAAAAAGTCTCCAATAAGAGAGACAATAGCAATAACTCTGCTTACAATGTCTCCCAAACTGACATCTGAGGTACTGTGGATGAAGGAAGCTTGTACTAAGCCTGTCACCTGACTGGCATGGGACCTGCATGCTAGTTTGATTGGCCATGCTTTCTATCCTGGCTTTCAATTTTCTTCTTAGGATTCAATTACTGGATTCTGCTTGAAGTCTCCAGTCTTCATATGACGTAATAACAAGACAGGGGTTCTGCCACAGAGCCAGTCAGCGTAGCAAGTCAGCTGTGGACACTCATTTAAGCATTAAGTTACAGGTGTCATCTGGAAGCAATCAGGAATGGGTAAAGAAAGCCACACTGGCTGAGAAGAGCTGTGAAAGTCCCCCAGACCAGCTTCTCGAGCCACTTCCCAGAGAACACCAGTGACCAGCTAACACCAGCTAACAGCCTGCTCCTGTTAGCACCGGGAGCCAGGGGACTTCCCACAGCAAAGCCTAAAAAATTCAACAGTGGACATTTGGAGACAGATATTGTTAGATTTCTGAGGCAGCCTAAAGAGACAGAGGCAGAAAGAAACCAGGCTGACTTTGGCAGAAGAGACTGCTTTTTCAAACAACAATGGGTGAACATTCTCCTGAGGGCAAGGAGGTGTATTCAAAGAGAAAAGGGAACATTTGGAGTATATAGAGGTGGGATTGTGGAATGGAGACATTAAATGCTACCTGCCATTTGCAGTCTCTGTTTCTTGGAACTGTTTGTCCAAACAAGGATGTATGAGCTTCAAAAACTGCCTTGCTCGGCTGCCAGAAAGTTGGTGATGTGTTAGACAATAGCAACGAAAGGAGGAGGGCTGAAGTTTCAACAAAGCTACAGATTTCAGCAAATACTAGGGCAACTGAGAGTTCCTTGCTCAGGGCCTAGCAGAGGCTATTAGCCCCAACCCTAACCCAAACACCAACCCCAACCCTATACCTAAACCCCAACTTGACCCCTAACCCCAATCCTAACCCTAATAGCAGCGGTGTAGGGCCCATGGGTCTACCCCTGCTCCCAGGTTTCATCTTGAGGACAGTTTCCAGTCAGCCAGCTAAACCATCCTGTTTGTTCCTGTGCTCCCTCTGCCGGCCCCCCACCACCACCATTAGCTACAGGGCATTGTTTACTCCACCTTGGGTGTGGTAATTTCCCATCTGCCTGAGGGGTATTCCTTGTGTAGCAGCTAGGTATTTAAGGTTTTCCCTATATTTGAATAAATGGCATTCTGCTGATCTCCTTTCCAATGACCCAGGTCTCTTGTGTGTTCTTTCAATCTCTAGGCCCTTGCCCCCTTGGTCCTTGCCCGGCTCACGTGGCGTCTGGTACAGTGGTGCGCAACCTGTACTGAGAGTAACACAGACTCAGGTGTTACCATTGGAGGCCCCACTGGGATATCAGGAATTACACAGCGGCTGTTCAAGGTGTATTCCTTCAGGAACTATGATGCCCCTTTCTCTCTTTGAACTCGCAGAATATTAGCCATAGTGCTTCCTGTAGGGCTAATCCTGACAGATCCCCAGGCCTGGACTCTGACAAAATTTTATTACCTCTGCTGTATCTAGAAATAATAGGTTTAGATTGTTTTTATCTGACTTCTTTAATAACTCATGCCTTGGCCCTTATAAATAATAAATAAAACAAACAATCCCTGGTCCCATAGCTGGCTTCATTGGAATCTATGGTCAACCACCTCACTCCTGACCCCAAGGATCTGCTTGTCCTTGTCCTCTGAGGTCTAACGATTGGGAACTGCCTAATTCACTGGCTGTCCCAGCACCCACTCCTCCATCAAAGTCAACGACTGAAATGTAACCTAAGTAGACAAATGTGGGACGTAAGACTACCCTGCCCTGGCTCCCTCTTGTGCTTGCTCAATCACTTGTCAGCCCCCACCCACCACCTCCAACAGTCTTGTCTAACATACGGGATTTCCCTGACTCTGGCCACGGTCCCGATGTATTAACCAAAATAATTAGTGTTTATAATAAATGAAAAAGGTATAAGTAAAAAAATAATTGCTAAGTTATGCACAGAATACCATGCTCTGAAAAACACAGATGTTGCAAGGCCGTTCTCCCTGTCACCTCACATCGACGGCCCCCTCCGGCACCAAGGGACATGCACTGGGACTCGAACCCACTCTCGATCACAGGCCAGAAAGAAAGGACTCGTTTGTCTTAATCTGCATGGTTGCCTGTATCTTTCTCGAATGGATTTATTATAGAATGTATGTGAACCATGTGTCTGCTAGTGCCGGGGGAGGTCAGAAGAGGGTGTTGGCTTCCCTGGAGCTGGAGTTACAGATGTTGTGGGTTCTGGTCCTCGGAGAGCAGCAAGTTCTCTTAACTGCTGAGCTATCCACCGGGACTTTACTATCTTTAATTGTACACTTTAGCTGGGTAGGTCCTAGCACTCAGGGGGCAGAGGTAGACCGATCTGTGTGAATCCCGGCTAGACTGGTCTACATGGTGACAGAGGACAACCGGGGCTATAATGAGAGACCTTGTCTCAAATTAATTAACTAATTTACTAATCAATTAAAACAGGCCTTGGAAACACTTCTAAGTACATACATTTAAAGATGTGTTTAGACCCACCGAATGTCTGTTCTGTAAGGCCTCAGCAGTTTGGGGAGTTTGGAGTGCTTCTGGCAAATCTGAATGAGAAATCTTTGTATGGCTGGCTAGATCTAACGACAGTCCTGGGCTTCTCCCGCGAGGATGGCCAGGCCTGCGAGCTTTCCTCTCCTAGCTCTTGTTGGCATCTCGTCACAAACCCTTAATTTTGCTGGGTCACAGAAGCAATTAAACCTCTCCTCTAGATTGTAGACGTGTTGTGCTTTGGGTCCAGGGCCAGATCATCTCACATACTCCAAGCCTCCAAGCCCTACAGCTATCGAACAGAGAAGACGTCATGTTATTTTATTGGTAAGTTAATGCCTGGGACGCCCCTCGCCCGGGAGCCTGGAGCGCCGCTCTGGCTCTTTCTGTCGCACGTGGCAGGGGCAGTGCTCTCACTTCTCCGCGTAGCAGTAGGTTCCGTAGGCCGCCTGCTGGGGCCGGGGGAAACCGAAGCTGCGCACCCCGGGGTCAGGGAGGCCCCCGCAGCGCGGCCGCGGCGTGGTGATGGGAAAGCGAACGCTGCCGTCCGCCAGCCAGCCTCCATCGCACCGATCCAGCCCCGAGAACTTCCAGGCAGCGTAGAGGTGCCCGACCTTGGCTACTACAGCTCCCCGCCGCCGGCACGCCGCGTGGGCTTCAGAGAGCGTCAGTCGCCCGGGCACGAAGAACACCTGGCCTGGGAACGAGAGCGGGTGACCGATTGCCCCAAGCAGCAGGTCTGGAGGGGGACGGGACAACGAAGCTGGGGAAATGGCAGCAGGAGAACCCTGGCAAAGCGGTGCTTGCGGGAGCCCAGAGGAACGCGGTCTGGGACACTCCAACTCTGCCCGCCCAAATTCTCCTTCTCCGCTACGCTCGCCGCACTGGGCTCCGGCCCTAGACCCGCCCCCCACCCGCCCTCCAGGACCCGCCAGAGCACGACACTGAACGCTGGCCAGCCCCCGCCTGGTTTACAGGTCCTGCTTTCACTAGACCGGGCCGAGTCCTGCCTCCTGGCCCAGGCCCGACCACGCCCTTGCTCCAGGATGGAGTCCCCAGACCGGGCACCGCTTGCACGCAGCTGGCTCACCTGCCAGCGCCGAAGTGAAGCAGAAGGCGTCGTAGCGGTCTCGGCTGCGATCGCGGGGCCCGTAGCTGCGGATGCCTGGCCGCCCATGACCGCCACACGGGGCGCGCGCGTTGAGCACAGGGTAGCGCACCGAGCCCTCCAGCAGCCAGCCGGCGTTGCACCAGTCCAGCCCCTCGGTCCACGCTGGCGGAGGAGGGGGCGGGGAGAAGGGAAGTCACCGGCGCAAGCCAAGCTTGCTGGGACCGGTGTGCAGCCCGGGGCGGTCAGTCGGGGCTCCGGTGCTCACCCTGGTACAGTTGACTATAAGTGGCCAGGCGTCCGTCCTGCTCCTCGCACGCCTGTTTCGCCTCGAAGTAATTGAACTGATAGCGGCCCCGGCTGGGTTGGTACGGAAACACCACACCTGGTGGGTGGAGAGCTCGAGTAGGGCAGTTGGGTGCGCAGAGGAGCGCCGGCAGGGGAGGCTGGCATAGCTGAGGTGGCCGGCACAGCTAGGGAACAACAGTGCTGGAACAGAAAAGCTCACCCTCCAGGCGCAGGGTCAGTGCCACGCTCTCGTCCTCGATGCCATTGATGAGCTCGCAGCGGTACCGGCCCTCGTCCTCCAGGCGCACGTTCTTGATGACCAGGGAGGCGTCCAGTCGATGCCCTCTCCGCATGCTGGCCCGCCCTCCCAGGTGCCCGTAGCCTCGGGCGTGCAGTCCATTGGTGATGAGGATTATCGTTTCTCGGAGCTCCCCGGGCTCCACTTTGCTCCAGCGTACCTTGTAGCTGGGAGGCGAGGTGCCCAGGACGCAGGGCAGTGTGGCCGTGGCCCCACGACGAGAGTGAATGACCTCGTGGATGGGGAGCAGAAGGTAGTGGGGACCCGGATGGGGGGCTGAGCAGAGGGGCCACAGTGGCAGGCCTCTTATCCTCCCTGCCCCAAGTGCCCACTCAGACCTAGTCCCCAGAAGCTTTCCTGGGGGCTCACTGGCACCACCCTCACCTCTCCTCACGGATTCTCACTCCCTAGGTGCTTTCAACAGCTGCTCTCTTTAGCCCTCCATCCCCTGAACCCTTTCCCAGTGTCCTGGTTGGGGGCTGGGCTGGGCTAGGCTCTTACCCGAGTTCCCCAGGGCTTGGTGAAAGGTGGTGAATGCCCAGGGGAGAAGGACGCAGCAGAGTGCACGGAGAGGGATCCGACTTGGCATGGCGGTGTCAGCAAACGCCAGTCTGCGAGGCACAAACGACAGACACTCCTCAGTACTGAAGGGAAAATGGGGAGAGGGGCAGAGATGAGGATCAGCTTCCTGCTGAATATGTGGAGGCGTTTGTCCAGGGGAGGTAAGAGGCTGGTGGCGGGTTACCTCAGCCAGGAAACCCTGCCTTAGCATCTCCTCCCGGGTTCCCTCATCCCATCTGCTTCCCAAGCCTGCCTTTGGGATTTGGCTCTCTGAATTCATTTGACAGTGTCGCTTTCTACCCCAGAGTCAAAGTCAGTATGATTCTCCTGCTTGGAAGAGTGGTTCTCCTCGTGCTTCTGTTGTCTTCTTCACACAGTTTCCCGGGCTCGGGCTCCAGCCTGCCTGGCGCTGCTAATGTCTATCCCCCAGTCTGACTCTGCACTGGAGTCCAGGCACAATGGACGTAAGAGGCATCAAAACTGGGCCTTATCTCTGGAAAACCTCCCTTCATTCTCCAGTCTGTCTCGCTGTGAGCATGAAGTCACCAGACACGGAACTTTTTCCTAATGCCCTTATCACTGGCTTAAACTAACTGGGTTGGAGAGCAGGGTACACACACTGGTAGGTCGTGTCCCAAGGGTTTCCGGTTGCAGAACATAACACTGTAAAATTATGAAAACAGTTCCAAGTGCAGTCTGCCTGTGCTGTGGGTCCCTGCCTCCTTTTGTAGTTTCTATTCTTACCACTTTACCAAAAAAAAAAAAAAATGGATTGATGACCCGTTGACTTGTTTTTATTCAGTCACAAATTGGGCTCTTCCATATGTTTATTGCATAACCTTAACTGAGGAACAATGTCAGCCTCAGTGTCCTGAGTAAAGTGGTAATTGTAGCGTGCTACCTGTGGTGGCTAGTCCTCACGGCAACCTGAATGGATTAGAATTGCCTCTGGGCATGACTGTGAGGGCGAATTGAGGGTGAGGCCCACCCTTAGTGTGGGCAGCACCACCCCAGGGGCAGGAGCACCAGACAGAATAAAAGGAAAAACCTGTGAGCCTAAATCAGTCTTTCCTAAAGCTGTTTCTGCTGCATATTTCGTTCACAGCAACAATAAGCATAACTCAGCAGTGAATTAATCAAGGATTTGTAAAAACTTAAACCGTGCCTGGTGGGAAAGAGATCTAGAGAGTAGAGTGGCGCCACGCTGTGTGTGCATTGCTATGACGAGCATTAAATAATTGAGAGGAGAGATGGGAATATTGGCACAGGGTAAAGAAGGCCTCCAAGAGTATCTAAAGCACTGGGCTCCAAAGACCAGTTTGTAGCTGGAGAAACAGATTAATTACATTAAGATGGCTCAGAGGTTGGGAGCACTTCCAGAGGTCCTGAGTTCAATTTCCAGCAACCACATGGTGGCGCACAACCATCTGTAATGAGATCTGGCACCCTCTTCTGGCATGCATGCAGACAGAACACTGTATACATAATAAATAAATCTTAAAAAAAAAAAAAGGAACTTTCCATCAGGTGGTAGTAGTGTACACCTTGCACTAGGGAGGTAGAGGCAGATGAATCTCTGAGTTTGAGGCCAACCTAGTCTACAGAGCAAGTGATAAAATGGCCAGGGCTACCCAGAGAAACCCCATTTCAACACCCTCACAGTCAAAAAAGAAAAAAACTTTCCAATAGGGGCTGGAGATACCTGAGTTTGGTTTCCAGCACCCATGCCAGGCTATTCACGACCGCCTGTAACTCCAGTTCCAGGCGATCTGGCGCCCTCTTCTGGACTCTAGGAATACCTACTTTCATGAGCACACACCCACCCTACCACATACATACACACTAATAATTAAGGAAAAAACAAGAACTTTCCAATAATAAAAATGAAGTGCCATAGTAGCACACCTTTAATCCCAGCACTCAGGAGGCAGAGGCAGGTGGAGTCTAGCCTGGTCTACACAGAGAGTTCTAGGACAGCCAGGCCTACTTAAGAGAGACCTTTCTCAATTAAGACAAAACACTGTGTGGGACAGGAGTTCATATAGGACAACCTGGTAAGTAAAAGTGGCCTTTACTTTTGGAAGCTGGTGAGATGGTTCCATGTGTATAGGCGAGTACCACCAAGCCTGACAACCTGAGTTCAATTCCTAGCAACCCATGTATTTAAAAGAGAGAACTAGCTCCCACAGCTGTCCTCTGATTCCATTCGCACACCCTGGCACAAGCACACCACAACTGAACACAAAATAATAAGATACAATAAAACGTTTCTAAAATAATGGACCAAGTGTGATGTAGGTTAACCCACCATCAGCATACTTGAAGTGCAATCTGATCTAGGCACCTTACTATATACTGTGTGTTTATTCTCTGGAGGTTCAGGGAGGCAAAAATAAAGCCACAGGGGCAGTCCCAGAGCTGCGAAGGGAGAGTTTGTTGGGGTTTGATTCCAGACCTGACAGGCTTGAGCTCTTGGCCACTAGTCTAGAGTTCTGTAGTTAAGAGAAGCCCACATATACCATTTCCACCCCTTGTAGAAAGAAACCAACACAGTGCCTACCTAAAAAGATGACCTCTCCTCAGAGGAAGGGCGAGGTGCTTATCAACTTCCTATCCTGCTGAAGAGGGTGCAGTGGAGGTGCTGTTGAGGATGCAGGGGTTCGAAGCACCGCAACGGCCTCAGGGCATCTGATCTCTGACTCCTTTGACACTTTTCCAGGGCTTGTTTCCTGTGCTCACAGAAGCTGGATGCTAGACTTGTTCCCCAGCTCACACTAAGCAGTGGTGACAGGATCAGTGGCAGGTCAGGATGACGGAGAACAGAGCCGATCACCTAGAAGAGAACAGAGAGCAGGGGTGGGACAGACCACCAGCAAGTACAAGTGTGTTGGTCCAGGCAGGGAGCGGATGAGCCCTAAGTGTGAATCCAGCTCTGTATTTCTATATGGGCCTCATCCGAACAACAAAACTGCCCCTCCCTCCACCAAAGCCCTCACCTGTGCCCTCCGTGCCAGGCTACATGTGGCCTTTCGGAAGAGACTGTCAAAGTGGGAATCAGACTTTCAGAACGTCCAGCTGCTTCAGGGCCCTGACCCTTTCTGTCTGTCTGTCCTTTCCTTTTCTGTTCCCACCCCAAGGAGAACACAATTTCCCATTGTCTCTGTCTTTCCCCTATTGTTGAGTAACAGGGCTCTTTTATTCATCCCTTGGGTAATGGCATGGAAATATCACCAGCTGGGGATATGGGATGTGGGATGCAGGACAGGCTGGCACAAAGCACCGGAAAAAGGCCGGGGTGGGTGGTTAGCTCCGAGCAGAAACTAACATCCAAGGAGGATATAGGAGAAGGCTGAAATGAGGTACCCTCAGAACTCCAAACTCCGGCATTGTCAGGAGAGTATACGTGACGAGAACCACATCCGACATTGTCAGGAGAGTATACGTGATGGGAACCACATCCGACATTGTCAGGAGAGTATACGTGATGGGGGACCACCTCCGGCATTGTCAGGAGAGTATATGTGATGGGGGACCACCTCCAGCATTGTCAGGAGAGTATATGTGATGGGGACCACATCCGACATTGTCAGGAGAGTATACGTGATGGGGGACCACCTCCGGCATTGTCAGGAGAGTATATGTGATGGGGGACCACCTCCAGCATTGTCAGGAGAGTATATGTGATGGGGACCACATCCGACATTGTCAGGAGAGTATACGTGATGGGGGACCACCTCCGGCATTGTCAGGAGAGTATATGTGATGGGGGCCCACCTCCAGCATTGTCAGGAGAGTATACGTGATGGGAACCACATCCGACATTGTCAGGAGAGTATACGTGATGGGGGACCACCTCCGGCATTGTCAGGAGAGTATATGTGATGGGGGACCACCTCCAGCATTGTCAGGAGAGTATATGTGATGGGGACCACATCCGACATTGTCAGGAGAGTATACGTGATGGGGGACCACCTCCGGCATTGTCAGGAGAGTATATGTGATGGGGACCACATCCGACATTGTCAGGAGAGTATACGTGATGGGAACCACATCCGACATTGTCAGGAGAGTATATGTGATGGGGACCACATCCGACATTGTCAGGAGAGTATACGTGATGGGGACCACCTCCGGCATTGTCAGGAGAGTATATGTGATGGGGGACCACCTCCAGCATTGTCAGGAGAGTATACGTGATGGGGGACCACCTCCAGCCTTGTCAGGAGAGTATACGTGATGGGAACCACATCCGACATTGTCAGGAGAGTATACGTGATGGGAACCACATCCGGCATTGTCAGGAGAGTATATGTGATGGGAACCACATCCGACATTGTCAGGAGAGTATACGTGATGGGAACCACATCCGACATTGTCAGGAGAGTATACGTGATGGGAACCACCTCATCTGCTCCTGGGAAGGCACGCGCGACTCTTAGCAAGGTGGAACTGTGGAAGCTCCCTGGTGTTTTTCTTATTACTGTAGCGGTATGAGTGTCGCTTTGGATGTGTGGCAGTGCCCGTCTGTGCGCCCACAGTGCTCTAAAAGGCCAGGAGAGGGCATCACTGTGTGAACCACAACTTGGGTGCTGAGAATGGAACCTTGGTCCTCTGCAAGAGCAACAAGAGCTCTTAACCACTGAACCATCTCTCCAGCTCCTTGGGAAGCTCCTAAAGCTGAGGGCACGTGAATAGGCAGCTTCTCCTTCCTCAGCACAGCATAGTCTTTGTTTAAATATTCAGGAGAACTGGTGAGATGCTCAGTAGGTAAAGGCACTTGCCGCTCAAACCCAGCAGCCTGAATTCAATCAGCAGAATGCGCAGTGAGAAGGTAAAACTGTCTCTCAAAAGTGGTCCTCTGGCCTCCACGCCCAAACTCAACCTGCAGTCCCTCATACACAATAAAAACAACAAAAACTTAAAATTCTGAAGAGGCCAAGTATGGTGGTTCACATCTTTAACGCCAGCACTTGAAATGCTGAGGCAGAAGAATTGCCATGAGTTTGAGACCAGCCTGGGTCATAGAGT